GGCAAATTTTACAACTTTTGTTTCCAAAACTCTTATTTTTTCCTCCCAAAAAATGGATCTTGAGCATTAGCCCTTAGTCAGAGCAAAATAACAAAGGGCTGTTGCTTGAAAAGTCAGCTTTGAAATTCTTTACAGTGGCCAGTTGATGTTGTCAAAAGGGGTAGGTTTCTAGAGAAGCTGCGGTGGTGCATCAGTGAGAGTATAACAAGGTTATTAAGTATTATCAACTGAGTTGATAATGTAAATTGGCCATTGTAAAGAGTTTCAAAGCAGACATTTCAAGTGTTAGCACTTTGTTAGAGCTTGATTCAGGGGTTATACTGTGAGGAGAAATTAGATGGTGATCACTCTTAAGGGTCAAATTACTCCATTAACAACTAGATACCTTGTCATCCGCTGCCTTGCGTGTCTTTTCATCCATCCACTCAAGAGATGGAAGACCTTTCTTAAATGCATTACGCACAGCATCAACCATCTCAGTGGCCTGCCATCAATTTGAAACAGACATATATAAGCATGAACTTAAGACTGTACTGGCTGCTAAGGATCCAACTTTGATAAATTAACCCTTTACACCCTGACATCAGTATGCATATTCTCCATACTGTTCTCAATACAATTTCTAAGGTGATGGCGAGGAGAACTTGTTTTAACAATCTAGAGTTTCTATCATTGGTGATCATTTCCTTTTTTCTCGTGACCTATATGTGTGATTTTGGGGGGGATATTGTAAGGAGAAATTAGATGCTGGTCATTCTCAGGGTTTCAAGGGTTGAGGTACACTACAGTCCCCTACAAGGAGAACAGAGCATGAGGTGACAATAGTCTATTTTTTTTTTCTCCTATTGCATGATTGGTTGCCAAGCCTTTGAACAGGTGTGAGGCTATGAGGGTGACCTTGTTATGATACAAACCTTGCTGCTTTTCAAATATAAATTACTTTGTTATCATTCTAACTAGATACTGGTCTCTATCACAACAAGGTCACCTTCAGCCTCACTCTAAATCAAAGGCTTGGCAACTAAGCACACCACTGTAAAATGGCCTATTTTATCCTCATGGATAACACTAGAATTAGAGTCAGTAAAAGTGAGTCAAACAGGCAGCACTTGCAGATAGCTCTTACATAAAAAGGTGCTGTAATAGAGGCCTAGCCTGATAGTACACAGTAGTTAAGTTCTTCATGAGGGGAATACAAAGTGAACTGACAACTTTATCCTCATGGATAAAACTGTAAGTGGAGTCGATACAAGTTGGTCAAACAAACAATACTCAGACAGCATTTACTTGAAGGAGTACACAGAATACAGGCCTAGGTAGCTTTTTATGCAATAAACAGGGTAAGTTATTTAATAAAAGTAGTAGTTGAACAATACACATCACCTGCTATAATTATACCCAAAAAATTATCCACTAGATAAACTATCTCAGTTTTGAGGTCAGATCTATTTGTACAGGTGATAACATGATTTGGGATGCAATTTGGTGTTAATAAGTATTAGGTAAATTTTTCAAAGACAACAAAAAGCAAGACAGTGTAATTTTTAGCACTTGAGAAATTTATAAGCGCCTATTTACACCAAACTGCATGCCAAATCATGTGGTTACTTGCTAATAATTTACATGAAAAATGCATCTCAGAAAGTCAAGACCTACAAAATTTTGGCAGTGGGTGCACTATCTGTAGTTTGCACTTATGTTACAACTTTACACTCATGTTACATAAAAAACGCACTTGTTTTCAGCCAATCAGAGGCTGTAATTTTTTTCATGTATATTATTACTCACAAAAACAGCTAATGCGTAACTGTGTACCTGTTGTTTGCTGGTTTCATCAAAGACCTTATCCACAAATAGTTTTCCCAAAGCCATCCCTATGGCTCCATCCGTGTTTGCCATGCACTTCTTCCACAAGTCTTCCGATCTTGTGGAGCCTGTTAATACTTTGATCAGATCTTCATGAGCATCACGGAATTTCTCTGATAGCAAGGGTGCAAATGAATGAACAACTTGCCACACCAAGTAATTATTCAGCAACCTGGGGAAAATTTTTTTGTCAGTAAAAATATTTGCTTGAATGAGCTTCAAAATACCTACGCTCAAAACTACAACACAAAATGCAGTATAATTCAATTTTAAGTTTTTACTCCCATTTGGAAATTCTCCATACAAAACCTAATGAATTCAATTTTAAAGCGAAAGGTGATGATACTGAAACTGTTTGATTTTATATTCTATATTATTTTAAATTCTCAGGGCTCAAAGTTAAAGAATTGTTGGGCAAACAGACCACAGAATTGATATTTTAATACCAGGAGTAAAAGAATGATAAAACAGGAGATTAAAAGAGATATAATAATACTCACATGTCTGATGCATTCTTTATCACTGGTGACAAAGCCGCAAGATATCGTGTGGCATACACCACAACCTCTTCCTCATTTTCAATGACAGTAATGTCTTTGAAATGATTCTTGAAGAAATCAAGCCAGCTGATCTTAAAGACGAAAATAATATCATGTTAGAATCTGGGTACATGTACGTAAGATTATTGCTGTTGTTCCTATAATGGTTAACCAGAAGCCTCTTACTGTGTGCTTCTTTGGTTTCTGTTCTGGTTTAATAATTTTGCCTCACATACATTTAAAGACAGATCATATTGTACATCAGACTCACAATAAAAACTCTCATTGGTTAAGAGCTGATACAGGCCAAATACAATACACATTTACATGATAACCCATGTCTGCAGCAGATATTGGGTTATCATGTCAAGTTCCACCAGTCTGCCTTTTTTCCAAGCCCGTTGTGCAGGTAGCATTTTAAAACTTTGGCAAACTCAGAGAGAATTGTCTCTTTTAGCAGATTGTTTAAAAAAATGTACAATAAACAATCACTGAATTTGGTTTTGATATAGCAATATCATGAATTATCAACCTTTGTGTCTGTGTCATCTGTCTCAGCCTTCAGCACTGGCAGATAACTCATACTTTGGTATTGATAATTCATGATATCAAGCTCAATCTCATCAAACATGTGCTTATTATGAGAAGAAACCACAAATAGAGAGGCATTAAGTAGCTCAGGGGAGCCACTATAGTCCATGTAAAGGATTTCCTTATACAATTTGATTTTGAAACTAAAAATAAATTTCTATTTCTATTGTTGGCAAGACTGTGCTCTGACAATATTCCCACTAATCACAAAAATATTGATAAGATCAGGTTAAAAATTAAAAGGAAACCCCTTCCCCTCTCCTCTTGCTCCGACAACATAGATAAACCTCAGTCTGCAACAATATTAATAGAGATCTGTAAATAATCTCTTGTTGGATTGATCCAAAGCCAATTATTTTTGGGTATTAAAACCAGAAGCCTGAGTATAACTGCAATAGAATTGTAAAAATTTTTTCTTCCCTTCGAGGCCAAAGTACACAATTTGCACTGGACTATGAGTTATGAGGTGAACTTTGAACTTTTGTCAGGTCCTTGTCTGTTCATAGGCAAGACAGTTAATATATGTGATTAGAAGTTTTAGTGTGTAGAATAATGTTTATAACCTGTGTTGCATTTTGATGAACCTGCATAGCTAGTCAAAATAAAAACAATGAGTAAAATTACTCAGGGATATGAAAGACCAAAACATCATATAAGTTATTTATTTTCCAGCTGCTTTTAATTATTTTCTGCACATTGTTTATTAGGTGTAGAATGCAAAGCAGATAGAGAGGCATAGCATGCTTAGCCAACTGGTTACACAATTATTTTTTTTACAGTACAAATAACCACCATTCCAAACAATGCATGATCTTTCTACTTGATTTACATGTCATTTGCACTCTACTTGGTGTATTTGGATAATAAAATCTCATAGTGCCTCTCCCCACTCAGAAGTATTAGATAAGTTCACTTGCAACTGTCTTAGAAAGAACAGTAATACTCCTGGCCACTTCTTGACACTGATACAAGAGAAAGCTTTAATTGGCTGATGGGTATAGGCTGTCAGGCTTGAGAGCAGACTTACCACAAAATTCATCTGACTTAATTTTTTTTTTGTATCATGAGTATCTTTTGTTGTGGTATTAAGACTTGTCTTGCACTAGACAAGACAAGTGAGAAGATCAAAATGTTTCAAATCAATCCTGTAATAATCCAATATTCTTCCATATAATTCCCTTACCTGCGGACAAAGCTCTGTGAGGTTCTTGATATTTGTTTTGTTGTAAATCTCATCAATCTGGCTTCTGTTTTCATGAGGCACAAAAATCTGAAAACAAAGGTGTTTAAATGAAAATAATAAGTATATTAAAGTTATCAAAGATGACTATCAACCTATAATTTATTTTAAATGAAAATAGTCAGTATATTAAAGTTATCAAAGATGACTATCAACCACATGAAAAACGTTTTTTTGAACTTTGAAAAAATTTTTCATGTTGATTGTTACTCACTGATAAACAGGTTCTCCCTTTAGTTAATACACATTTCCTTATTAATTAGTTACAAGAATTTGATGTTAAGAAAACAGCTTTTACCTGACAAGTTTGAATAATCTCATTACCTACTTGCTGAATAATGTATGGTTATGATAAGGAGAGGTTACATGTTAATCACTTCTGAGAGTTCAGGGTTAACACAAAAAAGGTTTCTTTTTCTGCCACTATTGTAACAATTTGTTCCATAAAAATAATGACTTCATGAGTTGATCACTCTAAATCTATTAAACCTTCCTCTAAGAGGATCTAAATTCAAGTTCTCTCTACTGTCTTTCTTACATTTCTAGAAACATTTACCATGAGAATTTGGTGTAGAATCAAGTAAAATCCCCTTGCTAATGTTCCCTTTTTTTCCTCATTACCTTTCTACTTGACAATGCATTGATATCATGAAAAAAAATAACGTGTTGGTCTCTTTGAGGCATGGAAGGGTTCAACAAAAAGCCATTTTACAGTTGTGTACTTAGTTGCCAAGCCTTTGATTTGGAATGAGGCTGAAGGTGACCTCGTTGTGATAGAGACCAGTATCTAGTTTGCATGGTAACAGAGTAATTTACATTTGAAAAGCAGCAAGGTTTGTATCAAAACAAGGTCACCCTTAGCCTCACTTCTTTTAAAAGGCTTGGCAATCAAGCACACAATTGTAAAATGGACCATTATTGTTCATGTTAAACCCTTCAACTTCCATGAGTGACCAAGAAAGAATTTCTCCTCACAATACCAATACAACATCAAGCAGACAAAAGATGAAAGTAAAGAAAAATATAAATTAGGGAATTATCAGTTGGTTCTCCAGGCTAATATAATAAGAATTGTATACCATGCAGCTGGGAGAATTATTAATGAGATCTAGGAGTAAATGAGCTGAAAAAGTAAAAGTGCTGTTTAGGAAAACTGGACCCTCTATTATTGGTGCTTCAAGCTACAATCAGTCCATTTGAAGTAGCATTCTTAACCTTTTTACTCCCAAGATCTTATCAGTAATTCTCCTCACTGTCTGTCATACAATACTAATGATTTAAGTTCTGAGAATTTGGTATTGGATCAACTAACAATACCCCTGTTGATATCTTTTCTTTATTATCATCAACTTCTGCTTGATATTGTATTGATATTGCAAGGAGAAAATTATGTCTTTGTCACTCGTGGCAGTTTAACCCTTTAACTTCCAGGTCAAATTTGTATTTCTCCCTACTATCAACAATATAATTCTCATAATGTTAGTTCAGAGAATTTAGTATTGGACCAACTAATTATCCCCAAATTGATATTTTTCTTTATTCTCATCACTTATCTGGTTGACATTGTATTGATATTGTAAGGAGAAATTCTGTGTTGGTCGCTCATGAGAGTTAAAGGGTTAATGGTTAATAAAAGGAAACATGCTATCAACAATACCTACTATTGATCATTTTCTAAGTGACAAACCTTTGCCAATTTAATTTCAAACTCTAAAACCTCTTGCATCTGCCTTCTTGTTTCATTCTCCTCCCCTCCCAGTAAAACACCAATAGTAGTCATATACTTCAAGTAGGCAACCAGTTTCTGTGGACAAAGAAAACCATAGCCTCATCAGTACACTGGGGGGGGAGTACACTCAGTACGGGGGGGGGGGGTGTCATACTGTGTTAAAGAGGGGGTACTCACCAGCTTTTGCTACCTGAGTATTGTAGGTTGTTTATTTAAAAAAAAAGGGCTTACAAAGGGGAGGGGGGTCACAAGCACCCCAGGACCCATCTAGCTTGAACTTTGCATTAAAATTTTGAGACCAATAACTTGGTGAGAAGCAGTCGGAGAAATACCTACCTCTTGTCATGTGGAATGAAATATAAAATATCTAAGAGTTAGATAAGCAGTTTAGTAGCATTTTTCTTCTCCTTTTACACCTAATCAATGCTAAAAATTGTTCCTGTTCATCAATCCTTTAACTCCCAAGATCTGATTGTTCATTCTACCCTCTAGCTGCTACAGATTTCCTTGTAAATTAGTAACAATCAATGCCAAAGATGAAACCCACCGGATCAGTTAAGTTGCTAAGGTAGTATGTTCGAGATAATGCCAGTCCATTTTGATCAACCTTCAAAAAAATAATAATAACCATAAACTTACAATGCACAACAATGAGATAATTTTTAAGAGCTTATTTACACCAAATTACACGTAAAATCATGTTAACACTTATTAATAATTTACATTAAAAAAGCATCACAGAAAGTCAAGACAGACCAAATTTTGACAATGCACACAGTAATTGCAATTTGCACTTGTGTCACAAATTTGCACTCTTGATATATGAAAATGAACTCATTTTCAGTCAAACAGATGTTCGTAGTTTCCTCACCTATTCTGTTCTAAGTTATAGTCACTGATAATTTTGATTTTCTCTTATGACCGCAGATAGGTTGCGGTTGGGTTGAGGTTGGTGCGTCCCATGACCACGGGAATATATCTTTCCCAATTAAACTGATGTACACATTACATCGGTAGTACGCTTACCTTAATAATGTTTTTTGAAGAATTTTTATCATCTGCATCAACATCTACGCCGAAAAAGGCGGAAACTGAATACTTCCTTTGAACTATTTTTAGGGTTTTGCCAAACTCGAATTTTGTTTTGTTCCAATCTGGCGACGTTATGCTCCATCCACCAAGGTCATCAATTATATCAAGCAGTGGCTTTGCCCCCATTTTGTTGATTGATGTCATGTTCATACAGGAATCGTAAAAAGTCTTGGCCTTCTTCATGGTTGGTGACCTCGTTGGTGTAGCTAGCAATTGGCGTAGAAGCCTTTCATTGTCTTCCTGCAAAGCTGAATAAATCCCCCAGAAAGATTTGCTCTCAGGAATTGGGTGATTCTGCAACCAACCTCCGCAGGCATATTCGTAAAAATCGTCGCATGGTTTAACGGATCGGTTTAGTGCGTGAAACATGTGAAAAGCTGCGTCTATACAACCCTCGGTAACACACACAGTACTCTGGTGTGAGGGTATCACGACCTTCTCTTGTTTATGTCTTGACAGCAACGCAGATAACACGATGCAAATCACGATGAGCGCAGCAATGATCCCTACAAGGGCTGTGGTCTTAGAAAGCTTGCACGGGGAGTTAAAATTTGAGCCATTTCCCGCCGAGGAGACAGAGAAACGAACGGAGGGATGATCTTCGACTGTGTCGTTAATGAGCAAAACTGGGTCGCTGGGTCCATCTTCCCAAGAATCTTCGCTTAGCAAAGGAACGTTTGTTGTTGTATCGCTGATTTCAGCCCGGGTATAGTCTCTGGTCGAGGACATTCTCGGGTGTTGTGCTGATCTCAAAGACAACGATTACTGACGGAAAATTTGTCACTTGTTCTCAAGCAAAACATAAGACGTTTTCAATTTGCGTTCTTTAAAATGGCCGTCGGCACGAAGTAGCCAGCAACACAATGGTGTGATTTTATACAGTGCTTCTCAGGAACAAACTTGTGCTCTACTGGTCTCACTTTTCTTCGGAGTTGGACTCTCACAGATTAGGTTTCCTGATAAAATCAGGCCGTCGGTGGCTCTCAAGGAATTGTTCCTACTTCAGTACATTGCCTTAATATGCAAATGTAAGCAAACCGGAAGCTCAGATGCAGATGTTATTCAATTTGGGCTCACGTAAACGTGCACCGGACATTAAAATGACCCCTGAAGACCGTAAGCAATGAGGAGATAAATAACAAAAATGAGGATCGTAAGTCAAGGAAGTAAATAACAAGAACTTGTCCAAATTTTTTTGAGAACTCCGTACCCAACACCATCATTGTTCAGCCAAACAAAGAGGTACAAAAAAAGTTTTTTTTTTAGGAGGAAACTTAAAAATATAACTGACAAACAATTGTTATGGCATTTTTTTTCTTTTAATTCCCCTCACAGATCGTTGATCTTGACTATATCCGCCCTCTATGACAAATACCGTACACATAATTTCTAATAAAAGTCGGGTGTATGTATTTTGTCACCTTGTCAGAGACTGGATGAACGTCACAAACTCTCCCTAAAAAAACGCGTTTTTCTGCTTTTCCTCCCGTCATTTTCTTACTGGACCACCTTTACAGGTTAATATTTTATAGAAAAATGTTTATGTCCGTGTGTAACATGGCTGTATTTCTACAGAGAAAATCCACTACAAAAAGTTGAAACTAAGTTGATTCGTCACATCACGCAAGGCGGGCCATCTCTTATCACGTGACCATTGTGGACAAGACAGCTCAGGTATACGGCATGTTCTCATCTTGAACGCATCTACACTGTGCTTTCTGGTGTCAAATCGCCATGGATTTGAGTAAAATCGCTCAAAATCTCATAAAATGTGTCTCTACTGGAGAGGTAAGAGCTTTAACAGTTAGTGAAAGCATTTTAGAAACGAATTTCTTCACAATCGTAAACTTTGTGCACAGCTACAGGTCTCTTTGAAAAGCTTTTCGAAAGATTACTTGTACTTTTCCGACGCTCTGAACTCAGCCTAATGTGAGGGTGTCAACCTTTACAAGTTTCATTTTCTCTTTAAGATGTGCAATCACTTCCTTCTGCAACATTCAATTTTCTTAAAGTTACTTCTGTTACGTAACTCTTACAGTACTAATATTCAAGTCCATAAGTGAGTTTCAGCTTATTTCCTTGGCTCTTCGGAATATGGCCCATAATCAACATATTTACTGTCCAAGTCTTTGATTTGATTTGAATGATTTGATTCAAGCAATTTTTTCCAATTATTTGCCCTACAATGACTGATTTTGGGTATTGAGTTGGAGACGAAAACTGGGTGTGGAACCTTATTTGACATGGAAATATCGGTGAGGGTGTTATGGGTCAATATGGAAAACTTGAACAGTAATTATTGTCTTTGGTGACAATTTGAGAGAATGGTTGAATTCACAGATTTTCAGGCCATCTAATGTTTCCCCTATAATTTCCACGAAGATCTTTCACCTATGAAAAAGTTATAAATAGCATGGACTTTATGACCAGTATTTCAACCTTTGATATCTTGAACTACCCAGGTGGCATCATCTTTCCTAAATCCATCAATTGAGAATAACTGTCCATACACTTTCTTTGTTATTTTTTCTCTGTAATTCCTTGAGAGCTTTTAACTTATCATGTGAACTCACTATTATTTCTCATCAGATGGTTGAGCTGCAGAGTTTATGGGCCAAGCAAACTGCAGTGGTAGTTTTTCTTCGTCGCTTTGGGTGACAGTTGTGCAGGCTGTGGTCGACTGAGCTTAGTTCAGTCAAATCACAGCTTGATGCACACAATGTACGACTGTGCGGTGTGGGCCTTGAGGAATTAGGTCTTGAAGAATTCGTAGAAAAAAAGTTTTTCACTGGAGGTTTGGAAAAAAAATTATTGAACTTTCTGAATGATACATGCATTTTTATTAATTTGTATATGATTTATTGCATGGCAGATGCATAAATGATGTCACCATTGACAACATTTTGCTTTTTTATCATATAAAACAAATAGACTCCTTATTGCAGTGGGTCTGTTCAGTAATAGATCAGAAAAGACTTTGGTTAGAACATCAATGACACTTAGCTGCTCTTTGCATGCCTTTTTTTTTTGTTGTTCTCTCCACATTCTGATGTCATCTGTAACCTGTTACCGAACAGATGCACAGCAACATGGAATCTTTACAGTTTTTTCGCAAAAAAAGCGTGAAGCTTAATAGACATGACGATTCATTTAGTGTGTGTCATGTGGGTATAGTGGTTACCCAATAGTTCATGTCAGAGGCTCATGTAAATATGCTCAACTAGATTTCACATGTCTCAATGTGGATATAATGTTCCCTGTGAGGTGGAGCTATCTTTTTGTCTAGTGTTTCTTTCTTTATTTAATTTTTGTAAATCTCTGTCAGCAATTTTGTCACTCTCAAATGCCAGCAACCAACCTTGTTACTTTTTTCAAGTGAACAAATAAAATTTCGATTTCAGGGTTCCATAGTTGGAGTAAACTAGTTAAATGAGGATGACCATTAGGTTAATGACTTTTTACACAAAAATTGTTTTTGAAATGATTGCCTAAAATGGAGTATGTGGTCTCTCCTTAGAGTTGTACATTGATGCTAAACAACAAATCTACAAAGATTTGGGATTCAAGAGGTAAGTAATTCTTGTCATCTCTACCTGGCCCACCTGTGGTGATCCCATGTCTGCATTGTGACAGACTGTATTGAACTAAGATTGGACTTTTCAGCCATCTTTGCACTTGCAACACCCACTGATACATGAAGCAATGGTCATCTTTGCTCGGGAAAGACAAACATCATTATCATCATCATCATTGATTCTGGTCACCTGTATTTAACACCATTCTCTTACTTATTTCACATTTATGCTGGCCTAAGGTTGAATGAAAGATAAATATAATCAAATTGCTAGACTTAAATGCTTTCACTTAACTTTTTGGACTATGTTTGATTTTTTTTGTAGGTATAATGTTATCAATGTTTTTGGTGGATTGGCTGCTAAAGAGACACGACTCTCAATATCCAAGGCAAGCATTGCTCTTTTTTACTGTTTTTGTTTTTCATTTTTGTTCCCTATATTTTCAATTAAATTTTGGTTATATTGAATTTTTGAAAGATGCAATAGCTTAGAACCTGGTGGCTTATACTATTGACTTATCGAAGAGCAGGCACTGGCCCTGGCCAGAGTGTTCTTGTATTGTGTTTGTGGGTATTACATTTGTATCTTATGGTGTCCATTCCAGGAGTGCAAATGATTACTAGCAAACTGCCAGGGTGATATGGGTAATGACTTGCATTCTGTACAGGAAGGCAATACTCTATAGTCATCTCTTGTGACAGCGAAAATGTTATCTTTTTAACTTGAAATACTTTTTATTTAGACAGCAGCAGTAGTAGTGGTAGGTTGAAACTAAAAACATAAATAAGAGTTGAGTTAACAAATTGCAAACAATTACAAACAACAAATGAATACAAAGGAAGTGAAATGGAAAAAAAAATACTTTCATTGATAACACCAGATATATACCTGCAAAATTGAATAGCTTGTAGACTTTTAAACAGAGAATAACAAAAAACATGAATTTAAGTCAACTGACTTAAGAAGTGATAATGCATAAAAGATAAAACAAGAGGACTGTGAAATAATGTGCAATATAAGAAATATGCATGAAGATGCAGCTGGCAAAGAAGAACACCAGCAAGCTTAAAAAAACATCTACGATGAGGTATGAAAAAAACAAAGAATGAATCAACTAAATACAAATTACCAAAAAAAAAATTGACGAAGGGCTTAGATCTTACTCCTCTATTTGTGAGAGGTTTCATCCCATAGGAAGTTTGCCCTTTCCAAAGCGAGTTTGCCCTATCAAATGATAGGGATTTGCTGGTAGGCCTTTCTACTCTTGCAATTTTGCTTTCAATAAAGGTTTTTTTCCTCAAACAAATATTCATGGAATTAACAATGTTATCAAATTAGAGCATTAAATCAAATAATTAGGGAAGCAACTAGACACCAACTTGTTTTAAGGAGAATATGAAAGCTACAACATTAGCCTTGTGTCAGGCCCCATTTCTCATTCATCATGCCTCCTCCAAGAACTTTTTGACCAATGATAAAATATGATCAAAATGAGGACATAATTCTGCTGAAATTCTAACCGTTTTTGGCGAGTGTGATTAGATTTCATTTAGGCAAGAACTTGCCATGGGTAAAAGGGGACAATTACAAGCAAAATTTCAATGAGGCAAACCCCCAGGAAGACTCAGGAATATGTCCAAGGCTGAACATGTTGGAAATGCAGATTTTGATTTTTAATGGTCACAGTTCAAGTCATTCATTATGTCTCAATGTCTTGTCAACTCTGATAACAAATGCTTAGAAAGTTCCTATAACTACACCCTTTCTGAAGTTGCTAAGGTTGTATGATTGATGTCACCACTATGGATATCTTTATACCAATTGTAATGTTAACTGAAAGTCACCCACTTAGTTTTGACTGTCACACACTTAATAGCGGAACTTGTAGAGCATAGCCCCATAATTATACAAAACAGTAGTAACCCATCAAGCTGAAAAAATTTGTATGTACAACTGTATGACCATACAAGGTGCTACTTTTAACATGTGTGGTCAACTGTACTGCGGGCACGCAGTGATCAGTGCACTGGGCTCCAAGTTGGACGACCTAGGTTCTAGTCCTGGCTGGGACAAGGTGTTGTGCCCTTGAGTCGTGCGGGGGAAAAAAAAATGTGAGCTCTGCTTTTAGGCTTGGCTAAATCTATATATTATTTCCTACAAATGAAGCATTGTGGGCTTACAATGATTTTATTTAAACACCCTATTGTTTCCTCATGCTGTTGTAGGCCAATTCATTGGGAATCAAAGGAAACATGAAAGGTGATGGCATGCAAAATGGTGGTATGCTGATAGTGACAGCAGGTGGAGAGAAAGTTCTTCTAGATCACAAACAGGCATCTCCAGGAGACCATGTCGCCAATGAAAAAATCCTTGAAGTCCTAGGAATCAAATCTGATGAGTCAAAGAAGGATGAAACAGAATCTGCATCAGCGGCCGGGGCTGATTGTGGGTGTGCTGCAAAGGAAGGGGAATCATAAATTAAATTCCCATAAATGGATTCTCACCACATTAAAGTTTAGTTAAATTTTGAATGGTGTATTAATTATGCTAATTTACACTAATACTCAGCTGTGGTAATTGTGTCAGTATGTAATGTTCTCTGAAAGAGTTATATTTTAGGCTACCATGTGAAAAACTGCTTTCTCCAACTTTAATCCTGTACCTGGTTTTGCAATTGTTCCTGTTCTGGTTGTGTTATGATGCCATTGTGTTAAATGCTCAAGCAACACATGGTGGAGGAATGTTTTGACAATCACGAGCAGGTCCTGCAGCTAAGCTACAGGGTTAACAGTTGGGGCCCTGCTGTTCCAAAAAAAGTTGTTAATCTTAAACTGTTTGTTATGTTACAAAAAAATGCTATATAATAGTTTTTTTTTCAACAACAATTGCAATCCAGTCATGCTTTGATAAGATAGTCTGATAGAGAAAAACAAATCATTACAAATAATTGAATATGACAAATTTTTTAGGAAGATGCTGAATTCTCTTAAATGTTATGAACAGTTACTGGTGAAATAAAGGAAATAATTGTCATAACTTGCTGGTCTTGTTTCTTAGTTGCATTAGCCAGAGTTTCACTAAAGAGAGAGACAGTGAAATACCCAAGAAAGGTGTGAATATTATTTCTAGATAAAGAGATCAAATGGCACATTGTGAAATGCAAAGCTTTTCTAAGCACAGACGCTCCGAGAAAAACTGTGGCCACGGCTTTAGTGACAGTTTTGACGTCATCTTAGACGAACCAATCTTTGGATGGCTCTTAAGAAATCAAATGTTTGAATAATTTTCATGGTGATTGCTATTTTGAAATCTCAAGAGGGACAGGAACATACGAGCTTACTACAATTACTTGGACAAGAAATAATAAAACGGAACTAGCGAACTTGGGGAAGACTAACCCTAATAAAATATTAACTTTATTTTTCTACTTCCTTTGTTTTTCTACTTCCTTTGATTAAGTGCGATTCAACTCTCCAACAAAAATATTAAATTGTAGCGAGCATACGTGAAATTGCAGGCGTGACTTTCTTGTCAAAAAATATTTGAGGCGTAGGTCTTTGTGGCACATCGTTTTGAATTAATCGCGAATGAAATTGCCTGGAGCTATAAACACGCCATAAAAGGAATAAATTTAGTTTGGGGTTTTAGCGCTTCAGTAAACAATATTACATATTTTTGTCGCGTATGCAAATCATTGTTTGCACATAGAAGAAAGTGTATTGAAGCTAAACTTTACTTTCGATTACATATTCACCAGCCAATTAAAAATCGTTTTATATCCTTTTAATGATCCCGTCCAATCAACGGGTACCTTTCAAAAGAGCCTTTCAGGGATGTGCTGGAATTAGGAGTAGTCATTCCAAAGAACGAACTTACCTGGGGGTGTGTAGTACTTTCTTCGTGTATTTTTCCCGTTTTAATTTGAAGGAAGGGAACAGAATTTTGCACACAACATGTCGGAAACAAACGAACTGGCCAACAAGCTTGCCCGTCGCCAGGCCTTGAATGAAGACGAAGACGCGCCAAGACGGCAGCTACAAGTCTTCAATCCTTACACTGAGTTCAAAGAATTTACTAGGAAGCAGATTAAGGATTTCGAAAAGATGTTCAAGAAGTGAGTGTTGGTTCATTTTACAAAGCTCTTGTTTACAAAGAAGAAGAGTTACGATAAGGATTGGCCTCTGTTAGCCCAGGGGGAATAGTAACTGTTCTGTTTTCTCATTCCGTGCCATCTTATCCGTAATTGATAACACTTGGGGTTTTAATTTCACAGGTCACACGTACTCGATGAGGCACTTCCTAGTTTCGAAACTAATATTTAATTCCTCTCTGAGAGAATTGCTTTATTATATCGATCTGCTGCTCTTACATTTCTGAGGCAACAATATCTCCTTGTTTCACCCAAAAGAGCATCTAGCCTTGCTCCGGTTAATTTTTTAAAATTATGTTTTGGTGGAAGTCGTATGCAAATTTTTTTTCTTTTGTGACTGAGAACATCATGTTATGACTTCCTTTAAAAAATGATTCAAATAAAATTATTGAAAACGTTGAAAACTGTTTTTAATTTTGTTGTAAAAATCGCAGAATATTGGAGCAGCGGGAGAGCAGATCCCAGTTTTAATTGCAAGTTCCTTCAACAATTTGTGTTCCGGGATTAAATTCGAGACAAACTTACATAGTCATATTTGTTAGGTATACAATTCCGAAGGAGATCTTTTAAACGACATTGAATTCTGATCAGAGGATTATAGAGGAAGTTGACAATTAATTAACATTAGCTTGGCTACAATTAGAGGGGCATTCTCTTTCCTTGACTAAGGGGTGATAGCAAAGATGAGGACGAGAAGTGGAGAGTATTTGAAGAGGAAGAGGAAGAAGAAGATGAGGAAATAGACGGAAAATGAAGGGGGAAAAACTTGATTTTGCTTCAAGGACTTTGATTATCATTATAACAACAGTAGAAATTGTGTGATCTTGAGCTTCTATATGTCTGGCAATTTTTTTGTGGCAGTTAGATAAGATGTACACCTGGAAATCATGAGTGACTGTTATTTCTCTTTTCATTATCACTACATTATCTAGCAATCAGGTAGGGAGAAGTGAGAATAATATTAATTGGAGGATGTTTTTTTGACATGACTCCAGGTTCTCCCAACGATTTACAAGGAATGTACAGTAAACAAAATGGAGAACTAACTTTCACCTACAAGATCTAAACATCATTACTCTTGACTGTGTACAATGCATTTATCATTTTTAGCTCTAAGAATTGGGTATCAAATTTAACAACATCTTCTAGTTGATTTTTCTTTTTTTCTCATAATCTTTTTGCTTGAAAATTAAAAAAAATATTTTAAGAAGAATTTTTTTCTACCCTAGAAGTGGAAGGATTAAATTTTGGGAGTCTCGGCAAGTTCAGACCTCCTCCCTCAGTCCTCCTCCATTTTATAGAAGAGAGCAGGACAGGGCTCTTTTCCAGATGATAGTCAAGTTGTATTAATCATTAATTTTTATTTTTACTTCAGGTATGATGTAAAAAATGATCACTTTCTGGATCTCATGGAAATGAAGCAGATGATGGAAAAATTAGGGGCTCCTCAAACACATGTTGGACTGAAAGCCATGATAGCAGAAATTGATGAAGATAATGATGGAAAAGTCTCATTCAGGGAGGTAAGTGCTGCTCACCAATAATTTTTTTAGAGATCTCCATAAGATTCTTGAGGATTTTTGAAACTTCAATAACTTCTACTGTGGTCTTTGAAGAATCTTTGATCAGTCTTTTAATCCTTTATAATGTTCACTCACTTCTCGGAACTAATTTACAAAGAAACATGTAGCAACTAGAGGGGAGAATTAACAATCAGATCTTGGGAGTTAAAGGGTTAACAATATAAAGCTAGGAGCCATTCAAGTTTTTCTCAACCTTTCAAAGCATTTAATAACTATCAGACATATGATGCTACAGTAATGACTGAATTATTTGTTCATTTTGCAGTTTCTCTTGATCTTCCGCAAAGCTGCAGCTGGTGAACTTCTGGAAGACTCGGGTTTGAGTGCCTTAGCTAGACTTGCTGAGGTCAATGTGGATGAAGTAGGTGTGGGGGGTGCAGCTAAGTTTTTCGAAGCCAAGGTGAAAGAACAAACAGCATCAAACAAGTTTGAAGCTGAAATTCGCCAAGAACAAGAAGAAAGAAAAAAGGAAGCAGAGGAGGCCAAAGCCAGAAAGCAAGCTTTCAAGGCTAAGCAAGCAGCTTTTGGAGCCCATTAAATGCAACATGCTTGCCCTTAACCCTTTGACTCCCAAGATCTGATAGTTAATTCTTTCCTCTAATAGCTACATTTTTACTTGTAACTTAGTTAGGAGAATTTGGTTTTAAATCAAAATAACTTCTATCTTACAAGTTTGAGTATTTTCATTACTTGTTTGTTGTTTAATATATGGATGTTGTAAGGAGGAATTTCTACGTTAATCAATTCTGGGAAGGTAAAGGGTTAAATTGATTTAACAGTGTGGTTTTCAATTAACTTTTTAAAACACAAGAAGAAATTACAAGCAATTCAGTTTTACTGTTACAGCTCTGGTGCTGTTTTTAGCACCATTTAATATACCCAATTTTTATTTTGGTGAATTTTTAATAAAAGCTGTTTTCCATTTTGAAGTCTGGCTTGACTTTGATTGCACACGAGATTAATTCAATAGGACAAATTATTACAAATTAATAAAATTTATAAGTTCTGCATGTTGAACAGTATAACAAGGTGTTGGCTTATACCAGATTTCTTTCATTTCCAAGACCTCTTAGTAATTCTCTTTAGAGTTTGTCATACGATTCTCAACATGTTAATTTGGAGAATTTGGTTTTGGATCAACAAACAATCCCCTTGGTGATATTTTTCTTTTCTCTCATCACTTGTCTGTGAGATACTGTATTGATATTGTAAGGAGAAATTCTCTCTTGGTCACCTGTGGGAATTAAGGATATAACAAGTAATTTTCTATCAGTTAGTTTGCTCTTTGAGTCTTAGTAATAGTTTCATAATAGGAAAACTTGTTAAAAAGCTGAAAGAGTGACTTTAAATTAGACCAGTATATTTTTACCAGACAGGGAGAGATAAAGGATATTTTTAAATTAATAAGTTGAACTAACAGAATTAAGAAGAAATGGTTATGTAATAATCATTGAAATTATTGCTTTAGTTTCAAATTTGGTGCAACTACCATTGCAAGGGATTACTAGGCAGTGTTGATACTAACATTTTACATGAATTTTTTTATTGTTAAGGTTTTTTGTTACTTAGTGATTCCGATAACAAGAAGATTGAATTTTTTCTGCATGAAAATTCAATTATCTCACAATTAATACTCTTCAAGGGCATTTAATCATAATTTAGCTGATAGAGCTTTTGGAATCTCCATTTCTGATATTTTATATGAACACAGGAGTTGTTTTGAATTTTTAAAGCAATAAACAATTACTTTCTATTAATCATATTGATTTAAGTAACAATGTTAATGTATGGCCTGTTTTTTTTTTGTTTTTTTGTTGTTTTTTTTTAATTGTCCACATCATTACAATTTTCATGAAGGATCCACAATCCACAACAAAACTAGATGACACCCAACATCTACAGAGCCACTTTTGACTTGTGAATGGTTGGTTCAGGCACAGATAGCTCAAGGTTGATATGCAGCCACATCTACACTATATCATTATTACACAAGAAATTTTGTATGGAGAAATGTAAATGCATTT